GCATTACACAAGTCTGCTGTACAATTCCTCTTTAGAGTGTCGAAAAATCAGAATATTACTTTATGGACTAAGCCAGGATGTTTTCAATCACCTCAAATGCATGTGAAAGTTGGACACTGAATAAAGTAGCTGGAAGAAGAATCGATGTGTTTGAATTGTGGTGCTGGAGAAGGATATTGAAAGAGGACAAGCTAATCTGTCTTGTAAGAGAAATGGCCAGAATGCTCCTTTGAGGGAAGGATGGCAAGACTTCATCTCACAAGCTTTGTGCATGTTGTCTGAGACAGTTAAAGTTTATTGTGCCAACCTGGCTGATAAACAGATGTGGGATTAATTGAAGGGCGGAGAGATAATGGCTCAGTGAGGCTCGCCTTTCTAGTTCTCAGATCTCTTGCTTTGTGATAGTCAGACCAGGGTGCAGCTGCCTTAGCCAGTTCCCTGCTTTAGCTGGCAAGCCTCACTTCCTGCAAGACATCCCCAAGGAGAAGATACATGGACCTACCCTGATGCAGCCCTGGATGTTGGAGCAGCCGTGTGGAGACCCCTGCCAGCACTGAGATGCTTATACATTCACTGACTCGGCTTTCCTCCTGGGGAATCCTTACCTGTCCCTACAGATGAGTCGTGTTGCTCCTTTTGAGGGCTGATCAACATTGTCACAATAATTATCTGTGTAAGTCTCTCGGTCTCCCAACCAGCCTGAAGGTAACCCCCACAGGAACTAGCCAGGTCCCTGGCTCAACCTGAGTGTTAAGTAAAGTGTTGAGGAAACAATTGATGGTGGGCCAATTCTGAAGTCCATCTGAGCTCTCAGAAGGCACCTGGCAGTAGGTTCTTATCTTATGCTAAGGAAACAGTCTTCATCTGGTGAGAGGCAGGCCATCAAATCTTCTGAGATCAGCCAAGAGCCCAAAGCTTAATCCCCAAAGAAGGAAACAGGATCGAGGGAAAAGGCTCAGGGCAAAAATAAGGCTGGGTGGGTGGGAGGAGAAGTGGGGGTAGTAGTGCTAAACCCAGGATTGCCAGCGGCCCAAATGACCCATCCCTCCCATCACTAGGAGGGCTCCCCAGGGTAACCTAGTGGTCAGCAAGCCAACACTCACCAGGCAGTGCCACCAAGGATCCTTGGTAGAAGAGCAGCTGCCATCAAAGTTACTAAGGCTCAGTCCCTTTAACCTGCAGTGACCGGCAATGAGTCAGCTGCTGCCTTTCCCTGAACCTGCTCCCCTGCCCACCAAACAGAGGCAATCCACCTGTCCTGCGGTTAGGCAATGCGCCCTTCTGAAAGAGGCACCCCATGAAGACGAGGCAAGGTTAGGGTCATTTATTCACTGTTATTAATGAAGCACTAGCAGTCATTTTTAGAAACAGCTGGGCAGATTCTCGAAGATGCAGTGGAGGTCCTTGGCACCAACTCTCCGGGGACATTTCTTTCTGTGCAGTCTGGTCAGACGGTCCCCTTGGAGGGGCGAGCCTCGCAGGGGTGAGGAAGAACCGCATCGAGAGAAAGAAGCCATTGGGTGCGGGAAGAGCCCGTGAAAAGAGGTGTGAGGGCCCCTTCGTTTTCTCTCTCTGGGACCTAGTCTGGCCACTCCTCGGAAGCCCCGTAAGGCAGACTCTCTCCTACCTCTTTCCTTTTATAAAAACCCGCTGTCAGGGGGCGGCCCTGGAGTCTTCTTTATACTGATGTGCCACTGACAGCTGGGGCTTTACATCAGCTCACTTTTCTGATGGGAACAAGCTGTCAAAGAAAGTAATGCCTCCAAGGTAGCGGGAAAGGCAGAGACCCTTTCCAAGAACTCAAACCTCATGCTGCCTGCTCCCTTCAGCAAGCCGTGGGTGCTCCGGAGCCCGGCTGGGGGGCAGGGCAATCGGGGCACTGAGCAACTCTCACAGGTCCCATCCTCTTCCTGGAGGTCCAAGGAGGGGCAGGAGCTCTCTGAGGAGGGGAGGCAGGCGACCTGGAAACTGGGAAAGTAGATTCCTACAGGAGGAGGGGCTGCTTCCTAAAGTGGTCCCCAGGGGGAGCAGCACTGTGGGGAAGGCCGGGGAGCCACTTCTTCCCCAAGTGTGACGTTCAGCATCATGGAGGTAGGGGCTCAACCCCCAGCCTCTTCCCTCAGGCCCTCACAGCTCTAAGACAGCTAGCTGGCTGTGGCCAGGATGTTGCTAGGAGCTTACTTCAGGGGTGGGTACTGTCATTCAGTGGGCATGTTGGGGGCTCTCATGTGCATCCCAGCCCGAAGCCTGGGTCAGGTACCCGCTAGGGACTCTGGTTTTCGCAAGGGCTCAGAGCAAAAACAGTAGGCAGGCCTGCCTGGAGAGCATCCGTTCCCCGCCACCCTCCACCTGACACACTCTGCAGCCATCTTGGTTCTGGGCAAGGTGAAGGGGCCTGGCCTCTCGCAGCTCCCAGGGAAAGGCTCCATCGCATATGTGAGCCAGCCCTGGACCCTACACACCAGGATATTGCACGTGCACTGTGTGGGGAGGAGATAGAGCAGGCGCTGGGTGCACAGACCAACCGTGGGTCCTTCTGAGGAGCTGCCCACAGCTAGAAAACCATTTGATCCACTTCAAAGACCCTTTGCAGAGTTGGAGGCCTGCAGCTGCACCAGGGCTGGGGTGACCTTGGGGTGGAAGGCATGCACCTGCCTTAGCCATTAATTCTGGGAGGACTCCTGCCTCTGTCTGTCTGCATCCCCTGGCGAGATGTCTGCAGAACCCAGTGCTCCGTGGATGTAGGTCTTCACAGGCTGACCCACTAGCAGCTGCCCACCCCCCCGCCCCCGGGCCCATGCAGAGCGAGAGTCCTGGACAAAGGGGGCCTCCCCAGGAATTATTGCTGTGAATAAGCATAGGCCATTGTGACTCACTGGCATTGGAGGGGACAGGGGACAGGGCACAGAGGACGGGATGCAGATGGATCATGCGGAGCAGCTCTGACTCAGGAATACAGACACATCTGGGGACAGAGGCCCAGGAATCAGACACAGTGGGAAAGACCCCCCCCCCCCACCGGCCCTCCTCCCCGCCACCCCAGCTGTGACAAGACTGGATGCCCCCAAACTTTGAGTCCCGTGGCCCTGTGGATACCTCAGAATGGAAGTCAGGGCTACTTGAGGGGCTCTCCGGGTGTCCTTCACAGACTGTGGGGCCCTCCCTGGGCTCTGTGGCCCCAAGGGCCAGTGGGAGTCTCCGGTGCCGGCACCACCCTGCACATTCCAGGCTGCCTGCCTCTGGGAGTTTCTAGAGCCCAGAGAAAATAGGATGCTGGGATATGTCCACAGGGCAGCATTCAGAGTCAGGGGCCTCTGTGACCCAGACCTCAAATCAGCAAGGCATTAGACAGAGAGAGGTCAGCTAGCTGGCCAAGGTGGGTGGTACATATGATGTGGGTGGGTGGGGGTGTTGGATGGGGATTCGTGTCCAGGAAATCATGACATGAGACAAAAGGAAGAAATCAAGGAGACAATGACCAGAGGGTACAGGGGAGCCAGGCAAGACTCTCCCCCTGAAGTCCCCTCCACTGAGAGGGGACCGGTTACTTCAACTTTGGCAGCCTGACTCCCTATAACTCCCAAAGCAGAAGACAGCTAACCCCTGGATTTCAGGAGACTAAGCAGGGCCTGGGAACACCTTCCCTGGAGGGGGCCCACTGCAGAGAAAACAAGGCTGCCAAGGACCTTTGTTGGGGACCCAGGAAGCGACTGCTGCCTAGCTCCCCACCTGGCTTGCCCCCTCTGCTCAGGCGAGGAGCAGCAAAGCAAGGAAGAGATGCTCTCCGGGTGGTGTCATCGCTGTTTAATGGCCTACAAAAAGGGGGACGCTAATGCCTACCTAAGAGTCTCAGTGTGCTCAGGAGGAGACCCTCCCCCCTCCATACTGCTGGCGGGCCTGCATTTGGCTCAGCCCCGGCCCTCGGAAAGTGCAGGGCAGAACTAGAAGTCGGCTGGAGGAAGGCTGTCACCCGTCCACTGCCAGCAATGGACCTGTCACTGGAGGCGGGCAGGGGCAGCCACTAAGATGAGGATGCCTGTGAGTGGAGCAGGGTTAATACTGTTTCCAGTGTGAGCTCACTGAATAGGTGGACTGGGAGAGGGGGCAGCCCTGAAGTTTTGCTACAAGGCTGGGGTTCAGGCAGAACTAGGCTAGACCCCCTTTCTACTCAGGCTGCTCTTCAGGGGCCCATCTTATGGGGTGACTCGTTTTCAGTGGGGCCACTGTGGGTGGGGTCATGGAGACGAGCACCAGGGATGCTGCCACAGCCCACCGGGCAGGGTGGGAGGCAGGGGTTGGGGACTGTCGGGACAGGGAAAGGTCAGTGACTGCAGGGGCGGGGTGGGGTGGGGGTTCTGTCTCTGGTCCCTTCTCTCTGGTAGCTGTGTTGGCAGGGGGCAGGGGGCGGGGCGAGTGGGGTGGCTGATCAGGATCTATGGGTTGCTTCGTGGCAAAGGCCTTGACAAGAACAGAAAAGAGGGGAAACGCCACCAAACACACGGGGATGGAAACCTCCCAAAGCCCAAGGTTGGTGGGAATCCAGCACCAGGGGGCCCCCAGAAGGCCAAGGGAGCAGTGTGGGGCCTTGGGGGGAGGGGAGAGGTGTGGCACCCAGGGGAGGCCTCATAGCCCTTGCAAACCAGCCCTGCTGCCCCGCAGCCCCCAGTACCCGTGGCCGCACTGCCTCTCCTCGGCTGCCACAGCTCAGCAGATCCCCGGGGAGGTATTGGTTGCAAGCAAGCACCTGAATATTGCCTAAAGGAACCAGCCCGAGCCCACGAGGCCCAGGTGAGAGGAGGCAAAGGGAGTCACAGCAGCAGCAGCAGCCCAAAGCCTCTTGGGGCCCTGCCTCCCCGCTTCAACCCCACTCCTTCTCAAAGGCCTTCCAACCGGGCAGGCTGATGCTTCCTCAGCCATCCATGGTGTCCGACTGCTGGGTAGCCACAGGCCCCTCCCTGACCCCACCCCCCCTAGCTCGGCCATCTTCGGAGCTGGGCTGTGATCCGTAGCCCCTTCCCAGTGTCCGTCTGTGGCCTCCACATCCCGCCCCTCCCCACCCTAAAGACACTTGGCCAGGTCCCCAGACTACAGACAGCAGTCCCTCCAGAGGAGGGCAGGGAGCCGGTGTGTCCCCCACAGGACGGAGGCTGGACTGGGTAGGACTTGTGCTGTCATGAGGGGTCCAGGCCCACCCCCCACCATCAGTCTGTCTTGACATGGCCATTGGCCAGGGCGAGGGGGCTGCTGGGCTCGCCGGGCTCGGCGTCTTTGTCGAAGCGCAGGCGGAGGGTGTTCCGGATGATGACCTGCTCCATGATCAGGGCCCCGCAGAACCAGGGCACGGCGTACTCCAGGGTGATGAGGCCCATGAAGTCAAAGTCAAACTGGGAGTAGTCCCAGGGGCAGGCGTTGAACTGGCGCAGGATGAAGCCGGTGGTGAACTCCCACAGGTAGGTCCAGAACGTGTAGATGAGGCAGCGCACCAGCAGGGGGCAGCGGCCCCGCAGGCGCAGGTACATGCGTTCCACGATGAGGATGGAGGTGCCATAGATGAAGAGGGCCCACACGCTGGTGACCCCCGGGAACTTCCAGTTGAAGTTCACCACAAACTCCCAGGCCGCCGTGAACATCACCTCACAGAAGTAGCCGTGGATGGCGTACAGGTACCAGCGGGACAGCGCCGTCAGGGGCTGTGCCGCAGCCATGGTGCCAGGTGGGACCAGCTCCTGGGAACACAAAAGAGACAGGTGAGGGCGGGGCGGGGTCCTCACTTCTGTCTGCCCACCTCCTCACCACAGTGGAGGAGCCTACCGCTGCTCTCTCCCGTCCGCCATCCTCTCCGGAATACCAACTAGATCCTTTACTGAATTTCAGGTTCATCATGATAGTCCCTTGGCCGGGTGATCATGAGACATAAGAGGAGGGAAACAAACATGGCTTCTCTGGCTAACTCTGCACACCTCTATGTCAAACGCCTCTAGGCTGCGGTTCCTCCCTCGACGACGGTTGTCAGGTGCTCCACAGTCCTCTGAAGAGCTGGCTGCCCTCCCACGACAATGAATCACCCACGTTTCTGGGGTGGCACAAATGGTTTAGTGCTGGACTACTAACTACTACTACCAGGATGCCCGTTCAAATCCACCCAGATGTGCCTCAGAAGGAAGGCCGGGCGGTCTACTTCTGAAAGGCAACAGCCTTGAAAACCCTAGGGAGGAGCCAGGTGAGTAGTTCAAACCCACCAGCCAGCCACACCATGGCAGAAAGACGAAGCCATTTGCTGCAGTACAGACAGCCTCGAGAATTCGATACCAGGTTGCTACGACTTGGAATCAGCCCTATGGCGACGAGTTTGATTTGGAACTTATCTTTAAGGCACAGCACCCAGCCTGCTTCCCTGAAGACTGACCCAGTCCACAACCTCTGCTGTTCCTCCTCGCCCTCCTCCAACAGCTGTCTGGGCTAGTCATTTGGCCCTTCACCAAATCCACACTATTGACTATTTTGAGGTACATGCCCTCCTGACCTAACCAACCTGTTGGTTAGGTCCTTTGAGGGCAGGGACTGTCTTACACTCCTGTGTCGCAGCTTTGGCACCGCCCTCTGCGAAGCAGGTGCTCTCTAAATGCCACGTGTTGCTTATGCAGCGGGTGGGGTGGGAGCGTTCAGGGCTGCTTCAAGAACCGGAAGAAAGGCCAGGAGAAGGGTCCTCGCTCTGCCAGCTGCCACCAGGCTCGACATCTCTCAGTGCCCTCTCCAAAGAATGAGGAGGGGCAGAAATTAACAGATGATACCTGCCATCCGCCTGCCTGTCTGTACATCCCGATCTCCTCTTTCACCTACAGCAGGTCCGGCCCCAAGGATATCCAACCATATGCCTTGCTCTGGGGTCACCCAAGCTCTTCCATTTCCATTTTGTAATGGCTCATACAAAAGTAAGGCTCCTGGATGTGAGGGCGATCTGGCTGGGACATCTGTCCCCCATTGATCGCCAGGGTTGATTTGGCTGATCTGGCTGGCTAGGAGGGTGTCCCCTTCCTCCCTTACCGCTGCATGTGCGTCCCTCCAGAAGCTGCGCTCTCGGTTGAAGAGGACGACCTTCCCCATAGAAGGAGGACCTTCCTTCGGTGGAGGGTATACGACTAGCTGCGCTCCCCTGCTAGAACCTTCAAACAAGTTTCAAGGTCCAAAAGTAAGGCTCCTAAGTGGCAAATGGTGTTAAAATGTCTCTCCAAGTTTTTAGTGAGGAAGGCGGGGCTCAGAGGGGGAGGGCATTTGTCCCAAATCCCAGAGCCAGTAAGTAGCAGAGCTGAGACTCGAAGTCACATCCTTTGATTTCATTTCTACTTCAGTGCTCATCCTGCACAGGGTTGCCCATCCCCAGCTGACACACATTCAAGGGACTACATTTCCTAATAAGAAAAGACAACGCTCCTGACCGGCTATTGAAGCCTCTTCCTGACCTCACCTCAGTTTACCTTTTCAGCTGGACTCCTCTTGAGTCTCATGGTCTCCGTATGTCTTACTGATCAATTTTGTTTGATGTGCCCTTCCTCTCCCCTCCCTAAGCACACACCAGTGTCCAGGGGTCCGCCTCATCCCCCAATCACAAGTCCTCTCTCCTCCTTTGAAGTCCCACAGTCTTCTCGCCGGTGCTCATTAATTTTCTGTTCCGTTATGTCATGAACTTTCCATCTCCAGGCAGAGCTCTTATAGTCTAAACCCACACAGCCTCCTCCTTCTGGTACTCCTCCACCCACATATGCCTTGCACACGTAAGTACTTTTTTTTTTAACTTGTGATAGTGAATGGGGTAAAGGGTTTACAAAGAAGGACAGTTTTATTCCCTTTACGTTTTTGTTTCCTCTGCCCCCACTTCCTCCCTGTGTTGTCTGTTTCCATTCTTCTACCTTTCCTAACCCTTCTGAACTTTGTCCTTGGGGGAATGTTGCCCTTTCTTCACACTGTGGTGTGCCTACGTCCTTGAGGGTGGCCCCCCTTGTGGACTATCAGTGTTTGGCTGAAAATTGAGCCTTGGAGGTGAGTTCATTTCCAGACCTAAAGGGTAACAAAGGGCATCATTTCAGGAATACCACCGGTTTCTATCCAACCATCAAGCCTAATCTTTTTGCATGATTTTCTCCACATTTCCCCCCATTTTATCCATCACCCTCTAATGAGATCCCTTTCAATGCTGTTGGTAGTGGTAGCTGAGTCCCATCTAGTTCTGGTCTCAGGTATGTGGAGACCTATGTTCACGTGGTCTGTTGGGCCACTGCACTAATTCTTCCCAGCTGTCTTCAATTTCTCCCCTCTTCTTTCCTCTGGACAGGGAGAGCCCAGTGGTTGGACCTTGGATCATGATTCATGAGATTTGAAGGCCACATTCACGACTCACCAAAGTGGGATACAGAACATTGTTGTGATGGGTTCTGTTATGCCAACTGACCCTAGTGTCCTCCTGAGACTATGGTCCTACGCCCCCAAGCCCACTGACTCATTCCTTCATGAATACACAGGTACCTTCAACACTTTTCCCAAATCAAACTCAGTATCTGTTTTCCTCTTATGCCCCCAGCCTGGTACCGCCAAGCACCCTGTTAGAAGCCAGAAGCCAAGGAGTCATTCTAGCTTCCTGTACCCTCTCCAGATCCAATGTAAATTCCTCCCATGTTATCCAATGCCTAGTATAGTGCCCAGGATACAGTAAAGAGTATGAACATCATGATATTTCTTAATCAATTAGTGATTTGCTCAAGAATAAATCCCCAAAATCAGGATCTTAAATCAATTGTCATGAATTATTATTACACTGCATGTGTTGCAGGTTGGGTGGGGTGTGGCAGATCTTGGCTGGCCTGAATCATGAGAAGACCAGTCATCTGGGGGCTCTGTTCTATGGCTGGCTGGGGAGGCTCTGTTCCACTCACCTCTCCTTCTCCTCCTGGACTCAGTGGACTAGCCCCAGCATGTTGCTCTCATAGCAAGCGTACAGAAACAAGAACAAGCAAACTCAACCACACAAGTACTTTTTAAGAGTCTAGTTAAGTCACACCTATTAGTATCGCATGAGCTAAAGCAGGTCACATGGAAAAACCACAAAGTTGGCCAATAACTCCTGTCCTTTCTACCTCTTAAAAACCTTGAAATCTATCCACTCTTCAAAATTTCTATCTTCCCATTACCAGTGGACTGGCTCATCCCTCGTCTCTCACCTAGGCGACTCTAACGGTCGGCTAGCCCTTCCCCCTGCCATGCCTTGCTCTCTTCCAAGGCATTCATCGCACTAATGAAGGGTGTGTAGAAAGAGCATACTTTCAAAACTACAAACATGATGCTTCTGTCTGCTTAGAACCCTCAGGGGTCATCAACACCCACAGAGTAAAGTGCAAACCCTGAGGAGGTGGTGGTGGTTAGGCACCATCCAGTCAATTCCAACTCGTGGACACCCTAGTGCAACAGGAGACATGGCCCGGTGTTGGGCCATCGCTACTAACGCTCTGATTGTTGCAGCCACTGCCACCCATCTCTTTGACGCTCACCTGCTTTCCGATGACCTTCTCCTTGACGACACGTGAGGTCCTTTCCCAAGGACTGGGCTCTCCTGAGAATATGTCCATAGTACGTGCAACGAAATCTCGCCATCCACCCTTCTAAAGAGCATTCTGGCTGTACTCCTTCCAAGACAGATTTTTCAGTCTCCTAGCAGTCCAGGGAATATTCAATAGTCTTCACCCACACCATAATTCAAATGTGTCCATTCTTTATGGTCTTCCATATTCATTGTCCAATTTTCACATGCATGTAAGAGGATTGAAAATACCATGGCTTAGGTATTCAGCTTAGTCTTCTAAGTGATCCTTGCTCTTCAACACTTTTTAAAAAGTCTTATGCAGACTTCTCCGAGGCAATAAATACTTGGTTTGATTTCTTTTAATACAGTTTATTGGCACATACTTTACATATCATACAATTCAATCATTCAGTCTTATCAAGGAGAAGCATTAACACATCAATTTTAGAATACTGCTCCCCCTATGGTTAAATTGCCTTTAGAATTAGTTGTGCAATCACAATCAGTTCTAGTGCTCCCTCCCAACTCCTGCCTTCATTCTTTATTCCTGAAATCCCCCTTTCCTCCCTATGACCCACCCCCCACCCCTGCACCACCTACAAACTCATGTCAATGATCACTATGCATCCACTCTTCCTGTGCTTCACAAGCGGGGAAACACACACAAACAATAAAAAGCAAAATCGCAATAAGGTGGTAAGTATAAAAATAATAATTAAAGACCAAAATACAAATAAGGAGTAAGAAAGAAAAGACCCCATCAACATTTTAAAAAGCCAGGGAACAATTTTCTGTAATGGAACAAGTAAGAGATACTTGCACCCAGAGTCGGGTCTCAGGTCGGGTCTATAGAGGGTCAACTGGCCGTTGTAATCTTGCTCCAGCACAATCAAGATTACAATGGTCTGTGCCTGATTGTAAGGCTGTTTGAGACTCTTGCCTGTGCCTAGAGGGGATCTGCCAGCGGCTCAGTCTGAGTAGATACTTTGCAGGTGGGTTTGGGGCTCCTACTGTCCTCTTTCTACAAATTGGGTGTTCATAATTTTAGCTCTGTGCTGTTTTCCTTCGCATTATTAGAATTTTGTAATTGTCATCTTTGGATCACACAAGCTGGTGTGCTTCTTCCGTGTGGACTTAGTTGATTCCTTGCTTAGA